AGGAGGGAATATTCCTCCCCTAGCTGTGAAGTGAGGAATAAAATCTGTGTTCTTGAAGCCTCCTGCTGCTTGAACCTCTGAGCAGGAGGAACTGCTGGTAATTGGCTGGGCAATTTAGGAAATGAGGTGCTGCTTTCTGTGGTGTGCATTCCTGCTTGTCTGAATAGGAGAATCTCTGGGTCTCTGCATATTTTTGCATAAAGAGCAGCAGGAAAGGAGCTGCCATTGGTGCTCCTGTTCTGTGCTGAGGCAATAATGGACTGCTGTGTGTGGTGCCCTCCCTGCTGTTGCTCTGGTGTTTCCTTGGCTTTTTATTCATAATCTTGTATAAATACTTCAGGCCAGAAGATAAATAATTTGTTCTCTGTGCATGGGGGAGGCATCTGTGTTTGGGAATTGCTTACCAAGAGCAGGAGAGGGATGTTCCAGACTCACAACAAATGGTTTGTGAGCACACACGGATCTGTTGAGCTGATAATTGAGCAGCATGTGCTGACCTGGGCTTTGTGTCTTTGGCTTTGTCCACAGAATTTTATCATCCTCTGCTAACAACAATGTCCTATGAGTTGGGAATTCAAGGCTGTGTAGACACATTGATTCTTTTATACTCTTGCTTAGACACTTGATGGAGGTTTATCTGTGTTAAAAGCACTAAAATTGCAGTTTTGTTAAGAAGCTGGTAGTTATCTGCATTGGGCACTAATACTTAGAATTTTTATTTGTAGTCCAATGTCAAAAAGGCTAATGTTAAAATCCTGAAAAATTTTGATGAAGCAATAATTGTAGATGCTGCAAGTCTGGATCCAGAGTCTTTGTATCAACGAACATATGCAGGGTAAGGTTCATTTCAGTGTATTGTTTCCTTTCTGGTTACATGTTTCACCTCTGTTTCATTTTTGCTGTGTCCTCCTGCATGGAGAGTAGGCCTAAATGCAAGATCTTGGTCCATGTCTTAATATTTGACAGTAACTTTATTTCAATAGTGTGATTTAACACTCAGTGAATATTTCTTTGGCCAGGAAAATATTTCTAATTGTTTTTCCTCTTCCTCTTCGTTATTGTTCTTCTTTGATTCCAAAATGTAGCCAAGTATATAGCCAAACAGAGCTTTCCATAATGCCAGAGTTCTTTTGATCACCCATGTGGTTCCTCTCTCCTCAGGAAGATGACGTTTGGAAGAGTCAGTGATCTGGGGCAGTTCATCAGAGAATCTGAACCAGAGCCTGATGTCAAAAAATCAAAAGGTTTGCTTTGCTCTTTCTCTCCATTTCTGTAAACGTCTGCAGAGCTGCTCTCTTCCCTGCTGGAGTTAAGATAGGCAAAGTGTTTGACTCTTTCCAGATCTGTTTGAAGCCAAATAGAGGTGCTGTGGGGATTGGCCTGTACTGAGGCAAAACCCATCTCTGGCCCAGTTTCCTACCCAAATTCTGCTTTTCTGGTCCAGCTGGACTCCAGGAAGGATGAGCAGCCTGTGGGAGTTGGAGCTGTCAGTGGAACCTGGCAGGGATGAAAGTGTCAGCAGCTGAGCTGGTGATCAAACCTTCAAAGCTTTGGTCTTGAGATGAAAAAGAACTGCAGCTCTCCACATGCTTCCCACCCAGGCTGGGACCTGCTGCTGGTGCTGCTTTTCAGCTCTGGGAAAGGCTCAGTGTCCAAATGGCTGCAGGCAGTCCCTTGTCTTTGCTGCCACTCCTCCATGTGCTGAATGCCAGCAGAGCAAACCCTTCAGAAGGGGACAGGAATCAGCTTTGTGCCTCACTTTGCTCACATACCTTGCTTGCTGTTTTTATCTCAACCAGGGTCCATGTTTTCACAAGCAATGAAGAAATGGGTTCAAGGAAATACAGATGAGGTGTGTCCCCTTTCATGTTCTTCTTGTGACTTTACACTTCAGAGAAAGAAAGTATTGATGTTCTTAATCCTGGCTGTTATCTCTGAGTATCTTTTTGCTGCACCAAGAACAGGGAGAATGTGTGCTAAATATAATTTGATTGCATGTATGTGTGAAACTAGTTTGCTCTTTGCCAGTGCTTGCTGGTTGAACTAATTAAGTGTGTGCTTGCAGTCAGGGTTTTTCTTATTGTGGTTTTATATATCTATAAGTAGGGGTGGAAGTGCTATTTGATTTTTGGGGTGGAAGTGCTATTTGATTTTTATGGTGGAGTGACCACTGCACATGGATTCCAGGCTGCATTTTTCCCTCTCTGATTGGCTTGGACAAATCCCCAAGAGATAAATCTAAAATCTGCACTAGCTCTCTTGGAAATTGCATCAAGCCTGAAGTACAATAATTGAATTAACACTCTACTTGGACACCAAGTGCATTTCCATTGAGGGGGGATATTTTATACAGGTTATGGAGTTGTGAAGGTTACCCTGACTCCAAGGCTGTGCTGAGACCACTGTGTTTTTCTTTTAAGAACCTGAAGCTATCTGTGTTTTGGGCTGTGTTTTTCAGGCTCAAGAAGAGATGGCTTGGAGGATAGCAAAGATGATTGTCAACGACGTCATGCAGCAGGCGCAGTGTGAGCAGCCTTTGGAGAAGGTCACCAAGGTAGGGGGTGGAAAGGCTGCTGCCTTCATCTGGCTCCAGCCAGGCTGTGGGAGGAGCAGAGCTCTCACTTGCCTTCCTCCTGTGGCTGAAACCCACACTGGAAAATGTTCAAACCAAAGCATGAGAGAAAGAAAGGTTGGAAGTGTTTCGGCCTACGTGTGATGTAGGAATTTCTTTACAGATGCCTGTGCTGGTTCTCTTGTGCAAGTATTAAACTTGTCCTAGTTTGAGTCTACAAACTGCCTAATTAGTTGAAAGGGTGATCTGTGCTGCAGGATGAAGTGTAGTTCCTGACTTGAGTTCACACTTGCTGTGTCCTCTCAGTCAGTAGTGGCATTTCTGCTTGAAGTGTCAGTGAAACTCAGCAGCTGGGAATTTGTCTCATGGGGTGCTCTCATTTGCACAATTCTGTCTCCAGACTTTAAAAAGACACAGTAACCCTGTGCATAGGTTTGTGTATTGTTGCCCAGTGGCTGTGTTGTTGTACAGCCCATGTGCTTTCTGTGTAAAAAACTCCAGCTCTGAGGCAGCAGTTGGATTTTGTGAAATATTGGTGACAGCAGGTTACCAAGTTAATGTCTAGTACTTCTGACTTTCAGGCAGGTGAGTTTGTAAAAATTAACTTGCATTATGTTCAGTTATTGAAAGTAAACATATGCCAAAGCCCAGATTTTGGATCCAAATGGGTGGATCCATAGTTTCACTGTGGGAGTGGTTTCTTTCTAATAGAGCAGTAACATTTAAATGACTTGTATAATGACTTCACTTAATAGCTTGGCTGCAAATGATACAATTCCAGTCTGCCTGGATGAAAAGGTCACTCAGCACAGTATTTAGAAATCTCAAATGACTGCAGATGCTCTGGATTCAGTTAAGCAAATAATCAAAAGGTTGAGTGTGTTTGGATTGGGTTTGGGGCTTTTTGTCCCCCAAACTCAAACAAACCTGGCTTCAACACAAAATGTTTTTAAACACAAAATATCTTTCTATTGAACAGTTACCTTGCATGTTTTAGGGTAAAATGAACTGTTTTTCCCTTTTCCAGCTATGATTTTAGAAACTCCAGGACAGGAAATCTGGTTTTCCACTTTGAGAACGAGTGAACTTTCCCTATTGGTGGATTCTTTAACACAGCCAATAAAAACAAAGCACTGTTACTCCAACCACTGGAATCCCCCTCATTTCCAAGGAAGAATGGAAAAGAAGCAATCCTGGACCTCCACTGTAGAGAGTGAAGAAACACTTCTGCCTGGTGTATGTGGCATTCACAGTAATGATGGTTCTGAGATGAAGGTGCAGTTTACAAATGAGAAACTGTGATTGACTTCACAAATACTTGACCCTGTCTCAAAAAAAAGACTTTCAAGCAAAATATCTGCAATGGGACACAGAGGCCACAACAGAGGGGAAGGTTTTGCTGTAGTTTCTGGTTCTACTGCTTGTAATTTTTAAACACAGAATTGGAAGGGCTGTGGGGCAAATCCATTGGCAGTGAATGACCTGGGAAGTTCAAAGTTTAATTTTCCGTTACTTGAAATAGATGAGTATTCAACTGTAAGATAAATGTATTTTACTTCATAACTGCATTAACTTTGAAGGCAGTGTAAAAGGGTCAGGAACTCCTCCCTGCTGAGCTCCTACACCTGCACACACACACACATCTCCCTGCTTCCACCACGGAGCAGATCCAAGGCTGGTCCTGCAGCCCCTCTGGACCCTGCAGACTGCTCCACTTCCTGTCCTCACCATCCCACGAGCAAGGAAAAAAGGAATTGCTGCCGTTCTCCATCGCTTGTTGTCCTCCACCCAACGTAGGATCTAATTCCAGATGTTTGGTTTACAAAGAAAAACAGTTTTTAAATGACCTTTGGCCTTCTTCCTGACACTGTCAACACTTACCATGTTACACAGCACCTCTTTTTCTTTCCCCAGCAAATCAATTTTGCAGGGTAGCAGAAGTACTCAGTGTCTCACTGTTATGTTACTGCTGCATTTTTAGTATACAACACTTTCATTTTGGGTCTTTTTTTTTTTTTTTAACTCTAATGATTGCTTTTCTCCTCAAACTTGTGCAAAGGAATCACTACGCGAAGAACTCAAATCATTTCCAATGTTCAGAATATCTTGATTGACTAGAGAGTGTTATTCTGTTGCAATATTTGATTGTATAGAGACACACTGTATTGTTATGAAAAAGCAAAAAAGGCTGTGTATAGGTTTTTGGTACTATGTACCACCTCTTATTTCTCTCATACCCAAGCATTCATGTACTTAAAACATACTATATTTAATTGTGTTTTGATTTAAAATATATAAATATTAAAATTTGTGTCGATTTTCTGTTCTCATGGGGTTTGAAGTTACATGGGATGGGTTTTTTAATGTGAGTTTTAGGGGTGATTTTGCCCACGTTTCTTAATGGATTATGTTAATGGCAGTGTGGTGAATAAGATTAATTCTTAAAGTTGTTCAGTCACAGGACGTGGCAGAAGTTGGGCTGTGAAAGGTGTAAAGGGGCAAGGGTTGGTCCTGAAGTATTGAACCACACTAAACTCTTACCTGTTTTAGTGCACCCCTGCCTCAGTTTCCCTCCTGGGTAGGATCCCAACTAATCCTGGGCATGTTCAGGGATTAAAGCTCCCACATTTGGATATGGATATTACTCAGGGCTGCATTTCCTTAAACTAAGGGCCGGATTGAGCGTGAGAGGCTCGGCCCATGTTGGGTCGTTTTAGCATCAACCCCCCCGAAGTTTTGGACCCGCGGGAGTTGTCCCTGCGCGGCCTCGAACCCGCGGCCCCGGGGCGAGCGCGGCTCTCCCCGCCGGCCGCCAGGGGGCAGCAGCGCCGCGCTCGGGCGCTCCCCGCCCGCTTCCGGCCCACGTGGGGCAGGCTCGCACATGGCCGCGGTGAGCGGGACCGGCACCGGGACCGGGGTGGGCAGCGCCTGGAAGCTGCAGGGGTGGGAGTGCTGCGGCGCTGCGGGGTCCCCTCGCCCTCTGCTGGGGTTTCCCCGCGCGGCTCCTGCTCGGAGCGGGGTGTTTCTCCCTCCCACGGGCCCTACGCGGGGTCCCACTGTAGAGGTTCCTTCCCCCCAGGCGGGTGTCGCTGCCCGGTGGGATTCCCGCCGCTGAGCCCGCTGTCCCGCAGAACATGTCGCCGGACGGGGAGGATGTGCAGCGGCTCCTGATCCAGTTCCGCGATGAGGCAGGGGAGTGCCTGGGCTCGCCCTTCGACGTCCCGGTCACCATCACTCCGGACAAGCTGCAGCTCGTCTGCAACGCCCTCCTACAGAAGGTGAGACCCTCCCGAACTCCCCGGCACCCCCAGCCCGACCCGGCGCCGCCCCTCGCTGCCTCACCTGCCCTTCCTCCCGCAGGATGAGCCGCTGCCTCTGGTCTTCTTCATCCACGATGCCGAGATCGTGGCGTCGCTGGAGAAGACCCTGGCAGGGCAGAGCGTGGAGACAGAGAAGGTTCTGGACATCATCTACCAGCCGCAGGCGGTGTTCAGGGTGCGGGCGGTGACACGCTGCACCAGCTCCCTGGAGGGACACACCGAGGCCGTCATCTCCGTGGCTTTCAGCCCCACGGGAAAGTACGAGGGTGTGGCTGCAGGCAGGCGGGGGTCGGGGCAAGGCGGCAGCTGCCGTTGTCCTGTCCTGGGGACACCGTGCTGAGCTGTTCCCCCTCTCCCAGGTACCTGGCGAGTGGCTCTGGAGACACCACTGTCCGCTTCTGGGACCTCAGCACGGAAACACCACAGTTCACAGCCAAAGGTGGGTGCTGGGGAGGGCCAGGGGGGCAGCCTGTGACCCCCTCCCTCACAGAGCCCCTGTCTGCCTGGGGACAAGCAGAGCAGAGCCTGGTGCTGTCTGAGCTGTCCAGGCTGGGATCACAGCCTGGAGAAGGAGTAGCTCTCTTTGGCAAAGTGGAGAAAGAGGGGCTGGCCAGGAGGAACAGAGGGTGGCTTCCTGCTGGGACACCAGGGACAGTCCCAGGTCTCCACTCACACCCACTCTGCTCTCTCTGCCAGGTCACCGGCACTGGGTGCTCAGCATTGCTTGGTCACCTGATGGCAAGAAACTGGCCTCGGGCTGCAAGAACAGCCAGGTACGCGTGGGCTCCCTCAGCACGGGGCTGGGGGGGATTAAGGGTTTTCTTGTTTCTTCAGGGGTGTCAGGGGGCTATCCCGTTGTTTGGAGCAGGATTCCATTCTCCAGAGGAGCTTTGTGTGTGGCTGTGTCACAGTATTGTGAGAAGCCTCTCTGTGCCAGGCAGTGCTCTGGCATTGTCACCTCGGGGAGCTCTTGCTGCTGAATCCCGCTGTGCAGATGCTTTTCCCTCTGTCCAGGAAAGAGTCCAGGCTTTGGATGTGGTTGTTGGCAGGCAGCTCCATCACGAGGGAGGTGTCTGGAGTGAGGATGGGTCAGGGCTGCTCTTAGTGTGATCCAGCCATGCAGCAGCAGCCTGGTCACAGCGTTCCCACACAGACACGGCCAAATTCCCTCTTGCACAAGTGTGAAAGGAATTCGGCCCTCGCTGTGGGACAAAATTGGTGTGCTTGAAGTGCAGAAATGCCTGGGGAAGCAGGAGTGTGTGGTTAAGTAGGAGCTGAGCTCCTGAGGGGCAGTCACTCTCTGACCTTTGAATGGTCTGGAGCAATGACAGCACTCACAGAGCTGCCAAATTGTGATGCCAGTCCCAAGGAAATGTCCTGGGCCAGGGTGGTTCAGCCATGGTTTAGTGCTGGTCTGCCTTTAACTGAACCCAGAGAGCTGCTTGTCCTCTTTTTCCCTATTTCTCCCAGGTTCTTAAGTAGGAGATGACTAATGCCTTGGCTCTCAAGATGAACATTTATGTAGAGAGAGAATCAACAAGAGAAAACCAGCATGTGTCCCACCCACAGCATCCGATAATCAGCAGCGTTAGCTGGGGCTTTCACTGTGCTCTGCAAACACTCCCTGAGTCTCTGGCACAGGGTGGCTTTTTGGGGACCTGTATCCTTTTTGAGTTGAGGCAGATAACTTTGCAGCAGCAGCAGCGTTGTAGGCAGACAGGAGGGCAGTCAGGTCTCATTCTTTTGGGTGTCAGCTGATTGCTGCAGGGATTTGGAAAGGCATCCAGCCCCCTTCCCCTGCTGCTGCCTGCAAGTGCAAACACGATCCCAAGGACACCTCTGCTTTCTAAATGGAGCTCCAACGTCTGTGGGATTCACATGATGTCTGTGGCCTGACGTGACCCTCGTGCTTCCTCTCTTGGACAGATCTTTCTCTGGGACCCAGCCACTGGCAGCCAGATCGGCCGGGTGCTCTCTGGCCACTCCAAATGGATCACATGTCTGTGCTGGGAACCCCTCCACATGTAAGTGAAGGGGCCAGCTCAGCCCTTCCCTTTGCTCCTATGGAAAAGGGCAGCCTGACCTGAAGGGCATTGCTCCTGTTTGCCTTTGTCCTGTTACGGGAAAAGGCCCATGTAGAACGGCTCTCGAGGTGAGCTGGGAAAAATGTGTGCAGCTGGGAGCCAGGAGTCCCAGCTGCTGCTCACAGTCCCTGTGACTTGCTGGGGAATCACTGCCAGGCTGCATCTCTTTTCCCCTGGGAAAAAGATACACCTGCCTGTGGAAAACACTGCTTTTGTGGTGCTGGACAAACACTGATGGGCTCCAGCAATGCTGAGGTGGAAGCAGGGAAGCCTGGTGGTGTCCGAGGGCAGAGCACTCCTTTCTGCTCTCCTGATCCTGCTGGCCTCTGTCATCCTGTTTATCAGGGATGATTAACTGTACAATCCCCTTATCCCTTCGATCAGCTAAAGCTCCCTCTGGGAAAGGTGGGTGGAAGGGGACAGTTGTAGCCATTAATCCAAGATTGTTACAGAAATAAAAAAAGAAAGAAAAAGGGCCCCTTCAGAGCAGAGCCCTGCAAATTGAATTTGCCAGTAGGAAGCTCCAGCTATTTGCAGACAATTAACTGGATTAGCAAAAAAAAAAAGATTGTAAGGAAGATGAGGAAATGGGGAGGAGAGACATGACCCTGCCAGGGCTGCAGTTCTCTTTTTTCAGCCAGTTCCAGTGCAATGGGAGGGGCTGTGCTCTTCTCCACTGCTGGTGCCACCATGCAGAGTGATAAAGATGTGCAGAGGACAGAGGGTTGTGGCAGCTCTGTCCCAGCTGCTTCCAGATGTGTTCAATTTGCCCTCTAAGCCACAATGGATGTGGAGGGACAGTGTTCCTTTCAGCCCTGTCAGCACAACAGCACTCTGTCCACAGGCTGGAGATGAAGCATGGCAGAGGCAGGGGAACATCCAACACATTCCCAGTGCCATGGATCTGTGCTCCCTGTGTGAGGCTTATCCCCTGCCCATGGCTCTCTCCAGCCTGTGCCCAGGGAAGGTGCCAGTTTGTGGTGACCTTGTTAGCCAGTGGGTTAAAGCTGTGCAAGCAAGGTCATTGCCAAGGCCTCAGCTTCCAGGTTTATCCTGGATTGATTTCTCCAATGTGCAGCCCAGGAGTTGGTTTGGAGGAGGCATTTGTCTGCCTCTCCCCTGCCTTGTGAGACCTTGTTCTCTGTAGGAGCCCAGGAGTTGGTTTGGAGGAGGCATTTGTCTGCCTCTCCCCTTGTGAGACCTTGTTCTCTGTAGATCAGTGCTCTGCCCCTGTCTGGCCTCTCTCTGATCTTAAGGCAGAAGAAAGTTGCATTTTATTGCCTGCTGGACCCTTGAATCCTTTGGGGCTGGTGGGGAAGGAGCTCAGGGGACCTGCACAAATGGATTTGATCTCTTTGCCCAGAAACCCAGAGTGCCGTTACCTGGCCAGTGCCTCCAAGGACTGCAGCATCCGCATCTGGGACACTCTGATGGGCAGGTGTGACAAAATCCTCACAAGCCACACGCAGTCGGTGACCTGTGTGAAGTGGGGGGGCGATGGCTTGCTCTACTCCTCCTCCCAGGACAGGACCATCAAAGTCTGGAGGAGCCAGGATGTAAGTGGGAGACTGCCCTTGGGCTGCTGCAAAGGGGGCTGGGCACACCGTGGGGTAGCTTTGCTCTTCCTGGCACAGCTTGTGCCCTGGAAAACAGAGCTGCTGTATCCTCCTGACCTGTCAGACCTGTTGCTTGGCACCATTTGCAAAGGGTATCTGTTGTGTGATGTTTTCATCCTTAAGAGCATTAAATGGGGCTAAAAGCTGAAACATCCCTGCAGCAACCTGAGCTGATGGGTGTTGTGCAAGGGAAGCTGATTCCCTGAAGCTCAACAGCGTTGTGTCTTCCCTGCTTACTTAGCCTGCCTGCAGCTGGGGCAAGCAGGTTTGGAAAGTTTGGGGTGTATCCCTGCAGCCCGCTGGGTGCTGTGCAGCCTGGCTGTGTCCTGTCCCTGTCTGAGGGTGGCTTTGTCCCCAGGGTGTCCTGTGCCGCACGCTGCAGGGCCACGCTCACTGGGTGAACACCATGGCCCTGAGCACCGACTACGTTCTGCGCACCGGCGCCTTCGAGCCAGCCGAGGCCACCATCAACCCCCAGGATGTCAGAGGCTCCTGTGAGTGCAGCACCGCCCTTGGAGGCTGGGGGAGGACTGAGCATGCTGGAAGTCAAGATTTTTCATGCCCATGCCAGGGTGGAGCAGTCTGGGGGATGGGGAGGTCACTCTGTTTTCCTTCCAGGGCTTTTGTTCCCAAGTTGTCTTTGGTAAATTGAGCGGTCACAAATGCTCCTGCTAAATCTGCAGAGCCGAGGTTGGAATTGGCATGACAAGGTTATAAAATTTCTTTTAATCTAAGGATTGCCAATCTCTCTTTCACCCTCCTTTTCCCTTTTTCAGTGTCAGAACTGAAAGACAGGGCACTGCAGAGGTACAACCAAGTCCGGGTAAGTCCCTTTGGTCCCTGCTGTCACTTCTAACACTGTCACTGGTGAAAGCAGTGGACACCCCAACACTGGCGTGCTTCCAAGCTCTCCACACCTGGCTTGTACAAAACTTGGGCTCTTTCATCCCTTTTTCAGGGCCCAGAACCAGAAAGGCTTGTCTCAGGGTCAGATGATTTCACCCTGTTTCTTTGGAGACCAGCAGAAGACAAGAAGCCACTCGAGAGAATGACAGGCCACCAGGCATTGATTAACCAAGTCGTGTTCTCACCAGACACCCGGATAATCGCTAGTGCTTCCTTTGACAAGTCCATAAAGCTCTGGGATGGTAGGACAGGAAAGTGAGTTGGTTTGTTCTGTTAGAGGTGGTGCTGGTTTGGAGTCTGTGTGTAATGCTCAGGGCACACAGGGCTGGGCCCCAGTTCATTGCCAGCAGCTTCCTGGCATGTTCAGCATCTCTGTAGCTTCAGCTCATGCAAAGTCACTCTGCTGCCTCTGCGATTTTCTGCCCTTGGGAAGGCTCTTGTCTGGCTTTTCGTGTGTCAGGGTGTCTGTGCTTGGCTCTGTGTGTGCAGCCCCACTGTGACTCAGCCCCAGCACTGCCTGGCACCTGTTTGCACACCCTGTTGCTGCAGAGTCGGTTCTCCGGGGCAGGCACAGCTGTGGTGGAAGGGGATGTTCCACTCCAGTGATCTCCTGAAGATGTGTGTGTTGGGAACTGGAGACTGACCCAGTTTAAACAGTTCTTGTGCCAGAGAACAGCTTGTTCTGGATGATGCAAATTCTTGTAGTTAGAAGTAGTGCTGTTGGTATTTGGATGCTCCTGTAATCCAGCTTTTAACTTTCAGCTCCAGTAGTGGTGAGCTCTTGGAGGCAGCACTCCTCCCCTGCAAACCAACTTTAACACTCATGAGCTTGGCTTTCATGTCAGCAATTTCAAAGGTCCTTCTAAATCTGAGGTGCTCAGACAGAGAGGGAAGGGCACACCTGTGCAGTGAGGCTGAACTGTTGCCTGCTGGATAAGGGTCTCTTTTCTGAGGGGGGTGAGATGAGGAGGCATCCTCTAGAAGGTTCTGAGCCCACTTGGGAGAGTTTTTGGATGGACTCTGTCTAGCAGTTGTCTGCCTGGAGCATGCTGGGCATCCTGTGACTGTGCTGGTGGGGAAGAAACATGAAGACAAGGGCAAGTTTGGAACAAAGCCTGCTGCTCTGACAGCCTGTCCTTGTCCCCAGGTACCTGACGTCGCTGAGGGGCCACGTCTCAGCCGTGTACCAGATCGCCTGGTCAGCCGACAGCCGCTTGCTGGTGAGCGGCAGCAGCGACAGCACCCTCAAGGTCTGGGATGCCAAGACAAAGAAACTGGCCATCGATCTGCCTGGCCACGCCGATGAGGTGAGCTGCCTGCGGGAGCTGAGGTGTTTGGGAGGCAGGAGTGACCCCTCCTCCCAGCACAGGTGACTGATTTCCATCCCACCAGGTGTATGCGGTGGATTGGAGCCCGGACGGACAGAGGGTGGCGAGCGGAGGGAAGGACAAGTGTTTGCGGATGTGAGTAACCTGTTTGTCCACGAGGGATGCAGCTGCTCCGTGTGTCCCTCAGAGCCACGGTGCCCTTGCAGAGACCTGTGTGGTCTCTTGCAGAGAGCACTGTGTCAGATCCCAGCTTGGAGACCTGACCTCTCTCAGGGCAGGAACTGTAGCTGGGAGATAACTAGAAAGCAGAGCCTCTCCAGCTGAGCAGTCAGGATGAAATTTGACTCAGATATTTTGACTCCTGGAGAGGGAAAGGAACAGTTGCACCAGCTGGTCAGGTCTTCATTTCTGACCTTCTTCCCTCTCCCAGTAATGCAGACAGATTCCTGGGAGCTGGTTGCCATTTGACTGTGGCTGGTGACCCCAGGTCCCTGCAGCGCTGCTGTTGCCTGCTGGGCCCTGTGGCAGAGCTGTGCCCCTCCACAGGGACACAGCAGCTCTTTCCCTTTCCAGATGGCGTCGATAGGAACAGTGACATGGAGCTGCTGGTCCTGCCCTCAGCACAGTCCTGGGAGATCTCCAAGGTGATGGACGAAGAGATTGACCCAAACACGGCTCCGTGTTCCCGTTGGCAACTCTCCCTCATGGACTCTTTCCTTATATTTATTTAAGGAAATTTTAATTTTAGTTCTTAATAAGAGCTGTGCTTTGCAGGATGATTTCCTCTGAACATCACAGGAGGGATATCTCATCTGCCTCCATCTCAACTGGCTTTTTATTGGAATTTCAGCCTCGCAGTAGCCATTGTCCTGAAAGGGGCAAGCAAAGGGCGGAGACTGCTCGTGCCCTTTCTTGCTCTGTGGAGAATCCTGTGGAGAAGAGGGTTTTAGTGGGAACAGAGAGGGTTGTCCTTTCATGGCCTTCAGAGAGAGAGAAAAATGGGAAAATTCAGCACATTATTCCATTGCAGAATTGTGCCTGGCTGCATGTCTGGGACAAAGATCTGCTGAGAATGAGGACTTGGGGCTTCTCAATATTCCAGTAAGGTTTTGCCTTTCCACACAGCCCCATTTCCTTGTGGGCTGTGCTGAGCATTATCTGCCAGTGATCCCCTGCATCCACAGCAGAGAACTCCTTGGCTAATCTGTTCAGGGTGCAACAGGCCTGGACTTCAAGCGACTGCTGGAGCTGTGCTGAGTTTTCAGGTTTCAGCAGCTCTTGGGAATGGGAAAATGAGACTCTGAACAGGAGAGAGAGTGTCCATTTCCCATCCACCACTGGCTTGGGGGAAGGAAGGATAGGGTGGGGAAGAATGGCGCAGGAATTCTGTGTGGCACTTGTCCCTTGCCCTGGATACGTGCTGACACCAGGGCTGGGACCCACAGAGAAAATAGCAATACTTCCATTGCACAGGGCTGGCTCCTTCTGGAATTTCTCAAGTGCATTTACTTGCCCAGTGGGTGAGAGGGATTCACACTGTCAGCTGGGTATTTGTAAGTTTGCTTATGAGCCTTTTTATCAGTCAGTTCAGGCTTCCAGCCATCATGAGGTGAATAGACCTGGACTAAGTGTTTATTTCCAGGATGCTTATGAAACAGAGAAAATCAAGATGTGATTAATAAGAAGCAGAAATTACACTGTCAGATTTAGTTGCAGTAGCATGAAGGTCAAAACATTTTCCATAGCCCTGATATGCAGTGATTACTACAACTCAGAACAGGAGTTTGGATCTCAGATGCTTCCCAGCTGCAGAAGATGCATTTTAGGACTTTATTCCTTCTGGCAGGATTGCTTTGGAGAATTAAGATTGTGCAGTAATGGCCTTTTGCTTGTCTGCAAGTGTTCAGGTGAGCCAAAGGCTGGAACAAAGGGTTAAATTTTTAATATGACTGAGAAAACAATTTGTAGTTTCTGTGAGTATCTCCTTCTGCCAGCCAAGTCAGCAGGGATCTATCTCTGGGATCTTTTGGGAAGAGCTCAGTATCCCATACCTGTTCTTTCATTAGGGTGCTTCCTCCAGCTGGTTCCTGCTGACAGCATAGGCCAGGTTGCATCCATCTGCATAAAGAAAATATTTTGTAATTCACTGAGGTAAATGTGGGACAGGGTGGTTTAAAACCAGCTGGTAAGTCTGCCCTTGGGGAGAAGAGGAGCAGGTCACTGGTAACAGCCAAGAAGCCTGCTTGGTTTCCAAGCTTTTGGGGTGCTTGTGCTGAAGGGAATGACCCACCCTCGGGAGTTCAGCTCTGTCCCCAAGTCTGACTTGCTACAAGCAGCAGCTCCTGGTTGCAAGTGGCTCTTCCTGAGTGAGGAATCATTCTCTGCTTCCTCCTCTGGAGTGCTGCTCAGGGTCACTGTTCCCTGTCAATCCATGGTGTGTTTTGTGTTGGAGGCAGGGATGTATCAGAGCTCAGAGACATGATCCTGCCTGTGGGAACTGGGCTTGGCTGTGCATGTGTGTAGGTGTACCTAAAATATCAGTGTACCTTGCCCACTGATTTCCAAACCAAAGCAATCACTGTGCACTTTAACCATGCTCTTGCCATCCCTTCAGACTCTGCTTCTGTGACATAAAGCCTGATTAAAACTCACCTTTCTAATGCTGGAGCAGAAAGGTTTTCCAAGACCTCTTGAAGAAAGAAAGGGCCTTGCAACTAAGTTTAAAGCTCTCGGCCGTAATCTTCCTGTGATCTGGTAGCAGGTAGATTTTTGAACCATGCTCTGTGATAGCTTTGCATGTAAACCAAATTGTATTTTCTTATCTAAGCATCTGCTGCTATTTTTACCATTCATACAGCACCAGCCTCCATGCATACTAAGAGCTGGCCCAGCTCCAGCTGTATTCCCAAGCAATTCCCTGACACTCCTCCCTCCCAGTTTCATTTGAATGCGGCATTTCCCGGGCCTGGCTGCAGTCAGTGCCTGCTCAGGCACTAGGAAGGAAGGAAGGAAGGAAGGGCTGCTGCCCTTCCCTCCAGAGCTGGCTCCTGCTTGGCAGGAGCCGCAGCGAGCGCGTGACCTCCCTCGCTCCGCCACGCTGGGGACGGGAGCTTTAATTAGCTCATTTGGGCAATTGCAGATGCAAATTGGGGTTGATGGCGTTATTAATGGGGGAGATGTTACTTTGTGTTAAAGGACAAATCTAGGAGGTGGGCTGGAGCTTTGTGATTGGTTTTTCTGGAAAACCTGCTGAAATGCCTGAGCTTTTCCAGTGCTGTTTGATAGGAATCCTGGGATCTGCTTCCATGTTTCAGTCCAGTTCCTCCTGAGTTACTCATTAAGCATCCCACACAGGTTTTCTTACCACAAGGGCGTTATTTTTTACTGGTAATACAAGAATAATTTTAAGCATAGCCAGAAACTGTCCTGCAGAGCCTTCTGACACTTTCTCCTTTAAAAGCTCAGCTGGTGCCACCATCAATTTTGTTACAAATCCCAATGGGAAGACAGTAGTGATAAGGACTGGGAAGCGTGCCAGTCCTCTGAGGAAGGTTTACCTGTCTAGTGAAATCCTGAGTGTGATGGAGGGAGGGAAGGAAGGATATGGAAGGATATTAGAACACCTGGAGCGAAGCTGATAGCTCTGAGGTGAGCAGGATGCTGTCAGACTCCTACCTTTGGGAACTGATTTAGATAAATGAGGCCTTAAAATCCATGTGAAAACTCTTACTTGGGGCTGTGTCCTGCTTATCCATGCAAGTGGAGTGTGTGTTGTGTTCCTTGGGTCCTTGGAGCCACATGTTCCTGTCCTGTTCAACTCAGATGATCTCTTGAATATTTTCCCAGATCTGTAATTTAATTTCCATGTGCAAGTTTATAGCCTGGGGAGAGACAGAGACAAGAAAAATTTTTCAATGAATAGGAAGAAAATGAACTTCATTCATTGTTCTGCATGAAAAGTAGGAAAAGCGGCCTTGTTCTGTTTTTTTTTTGGATCAGCCCTGCCGTTATTCAGGTGATGGTTCCTGTCCTGTTCAACTCAGATGATCTCTTGAATATTTTCCCAGATCTGTAATTTAATTTCCATGTGCAAGTTTATAGCCTGGGGAGAGACAGAGACAAGAAAAATTTTTCAATGAATAGGAAGAAAATGAACTTCATTCATTGTTCTGCATGAAAAGTAGGAAAAGCGGCCTTGTTCTGCTTTTTTTTTTGGGTCAGCCCTGCCATTATTCAGGTGATATTTCTACCTCAGGGCTGCATTTTGGTGGCGTGAAACGGCAGAGAAGGGCTTGCTGTAAGTCCATTAGTGCTTTTGAGGATGAAAGGTGTTAAAAAAACCCAAGGCAGTGATGTCTGTGTTCTGTGGAGCTGCTGCCAGATGAAAGCATCCTTCTCTGCGCTCAGACAAGCAACCTGGAATTTGCTAATTCCTTCCTAGATGTGTTGCTCTTGTGATCAGAAGTCCTGGCTCACAACTGAGGGACTAATTTGAAGCAAGGTAGTGCAGCTGGGAAAGAGCCCCAGAGCCATCTCCAGTACTGCTGTTCTGTTTTCTTCCCTCTGTGAATGGTGGGTGCAGAACTGTGGGTTGCTGGTGGTCTCTCCTGCAGAGCGTGATGTTAAAAACGAACCAACTCAGGACACAGTGCTCCGTGTTTTTGGAGGACCACTGGGCTGGCTCAGGCAGCTGCACTGGGTGTTTTAGTGTCCTGCATGGTTAGAGCAGAGCAGAGCACGCCCTGGGTAGTGCAGGCTAAATGCTGGATATCCGTGTGTGGGAGCAACACGAGCCCCATGGGGTTATCCTGCATCCTCTCCCAACATCTCCGGCAGCGAGGCTCCCTTTGGGAAAGGTGAATCCAGTCCGTTCTGCCTCAGGACTCTTCCAGCAGCCCAAGCAAGTGACGGTGCTGTTTGCAGGCTCTTGGTGTAGTGCGGATGCTGGAGTTACCGACGCCCAGAAGCTCCCGCAGCAGCCCGACAAGGACCCAGCTGGGAGGAGTGACCCGCATGCAAATCCCGCAGCCTCCAGCGATCCCGCTCGGATCCCGCAGGGTGTTTAGTTATTCCGGTCAAAGCTCGCTGCCGCTCCTGCCCGTTTGTCCTTGCTGTGCTGAACAAACCTGCTCCAGGGCTCCAGCCCCATTAGGAGGACAAAAGGACGTGAGGCAGTGTCGGGAAATGTGTCTCGGTTCGCAAGTGTGATGCAGAACGGGTGGCTTGGTAATAATGGCCGTTGTGACTTTTATCTGCTCAAAAGGCGTCTTGCGAATGAATTTGTTTTTTCAGCTTCCCTAAAATGTAGCTTGTGACATTGATTTTGGGGTGAGGATACACGCTGATGCTGGGAGGTTTAATACTGAAGTGAGAATTGGTGGATGGCAATAAACAACCAGTTCTGAGGGAAATTATTTTTATGAATCAGAATATTTAACACATGGAGGCTTGTGGGCTTTTTCCTGGTTTAAAGGGACACTGTGAAGCATATCACAAAGTCTGTTACTACCAACATTTTAATTTATGATTAACTTGGAATATTTTTACATCTCATTTATTCTTTCCACAGGGGTGTTCTGGGCTGTTGAAATTATTGGCCAACTCCACTTTCTTGGTGTTGTTTGTTAGGGGAGTGCCATGGGAGGATTTTGGGTGGGGACTCAAAACTTGAAATAAAGGGGGGATTCAGTTTTGAGGGGTTTCAAAGCCCTTTGGTTCTCTTTGGCACAAATGAGATTTCTCAGGATTCCTCTGATAGCTTAAAATGTCCTTCATAAAGCTGTCAATCTTTCCTTAAGACTCTTGCTGGATATTTTTTACATCTAATTTCATTGTCTGTGGAGAAGCCTTTAGCTGAGGAGGTCCTGACATGGCACACTGCTCCTGGTTTGGAGTGTTGGAAAGCCAAGGGAGATAAGTGAGGAATGGGGAGAGGCCCAACTGCAGAACTCTTTGCTCAGTCTCTATTTTGATCTGGTGACACTGAAAGCAGAGCCTGGGTCACGTCAGGGAAGGCTGTGTGGGGTCAGAGGGGTCACACCCTGCATCCACTGGGGCCCGTGGGGATACTGGGGAAGCCTGAAGGGATCTGGAACTGGGATGTGGAGGTGGTGTGTGTGATGGAGAACATGGGAAGAGAGCAGTGAGGAATGGAACAGAGGAAAGGAGCATAATTATGTGTACGTGGAGGTGAAGGTCAAAGGCTCCATGTGACTGTTGTTCCGTGGCTGGTTGGGTTTTTTTTCATGTTTGTACATGCTGTAAACAGCCCCAGGCTGATGTAAAAGTGCTGGGAGGCAGGGGCTGTAAATTACAGGCGTTGTTCCCCTTATAAAGGGAGCAAACAACTCGAAGTGTCTTTGGCTCACAGCACTTTGTATGCCTGTTCCTCCATTGCCTCTCCATTCATTGAAATTCCTTGTTTCAGGTTTGAGGGAGAGTCTTGCTCACTACTGGAGCAGGGACAGGGCTGAGAGTGTGTGACCTGGAGCAGGGACAGGGCTGAGAGTGTGTGACCTGGAGCAGGGACAGGGCTGAGAGTGTGTGACCTGGAGCAGGGACAGGGCTGAGTGTGTGTGACCTGGAGCAGGGACAGGGCTGAGAGTGTGTGACCTGGAGGTGCTATGTAATCAGTGCCACTGCCTTAGAAACCTGGGATGATCCAATACCTGACTGTCCCAGCTCTTATCCTGTGCAGCTCCAGTCCTCTCTCTTCCCCTGGTGGCCCCTCAGCGTTGTCCTCACTGGCGGGCGCGCCTGAGGCGGCCGAGGAAAGGGCTGAGGTTGGCCTCTCTGCCCGGGCGTGAGGGCAAAGGTGGGCCCAGGGGCCTGGGTCACCGTCCTCACTGAGAGGACGACCAGACCGGCCCCCGGAGCCCTGACGGGAGGGGTGCGGGGCCGGCGAGGGCTCGGCGCGGTCCCCGCAGGGCTCGGGGCAATGGCCCCGCTCCGGTCCCGCTCTGAGGCGCTGGCGGCGGAGGGACCGCCAGGTTACTCGGGGTGAGGCACTCTTTGGCCGCCGGCGGAAGCACCCGAGCACCCGGGCCTGCGCACTGCGGCTTATAAGAGCCGCGGGGCGGTGCTGAGGGCTGGGCACTTGCAGCCGGGGCTGGCTGAGTGCGGATCTCTGTGGAGGAAGTGGTGGAGCAGCAGGAGCCCCGGGAGGCGCTGGCGGCCTGAAAGACCCCCGTCCGCACCCTCACTGCTTCTTCCCCTCTCGCGAGGGCTGCGGCGGCGACAGCGACAGCCATCCCCGGAGCCGTGGGCCGCGCCGCCCCCCGCTTCGCTGGATGCTCTGGGGTTCGGTCCCTGAGCGGGGCCGCGGCGCTGGCAGCGCCCGCTGTGGCGGGGCCATGGGGCCGGGCAGCGGCAGGGCACGGAGCCCCCTTCCCCGCTGAGAAGGCCCCTCGTCCCGGCGCCGATGCCGCGCTGTCCCCTCACACCCGACCCCTGAGATTCCCTTCTTTCCCCTCCCCATGCCCGACGGAGCCCCTCGCCTCGGTGACGCCCTGCAGCAGCCCCGCCGGCCCGGGGGTCTGCGGCGCTATGAGAGGAGCTGCCCCCGCCGCCGGGGGCAGCCAGGACCGGGGCAGGCTCCCACCCCGCCGCCGGCTGCCGTGAGGCGGCTGTAGCTGGAGGAAGAGCCCCTTTGTTTTCCCTCCGTCCTTCCCGGGGGCTTCATGCCCCGCTGAGGGATGATGGAGGTGGTGGGGGACTTTGAGTACAGCAAGAAGGACCTGATAGGACACGGAGCCTTTGCTGTGGTCTTCAAAGGTCGCCACCGCAAGGTAAACAGCGACGGAGCGGGGCTGGTTACACAACCCGGGGCCGACAGGAGCCCCTCGGGTGGGTGACAGCTGCGGTGGTGGCGGGGGGGTTGTGTCCTCTGCGGAGTTTTGACGTGGTTTGGGTGTTCGGGGAGAAAAAAAGAGCCGAAGGGAGGTGCTGGCTGGGCTGAGGCCCGCGGCTGCCCCGCGGCCCTGAGCCGGGATCCGGCCCCGGCGTCTATAAAACCTTCATTTTTCCCCTTCCCTCAGCCCCACCGGCCTGTCCGCGGTCCCACCGCTCCTCCTCTCTCCCTGCCATAGCGGTGAGGGGAGAGTTGCAGCTGTAGGGGAGGCTGAGCCCTTTGTTTGTCGGGAGGGTCATGTTTATCTCGCTGGATAACGAGGGCTCTAATGGAAAATTGTCTCCTTTGGGATTGGCTGAATATTTCTTAAATTCAGAGGTGTCTGGTTTCCTGGCGTGACTTGCTCATCGCCCCGGATATTCATAGTTACGTTATGGTTTCTTGATGCTGTGAGTTTATTCTGGTGCCTAAAGAGATTTGCTTTCCAGAAAACAGCCCTTGAGATTTAGCATTTTGGAGGATTAAGGCAGTGCTCACGGCTTGGAGAGGCACGGTGCAGTGATTTTGGGGTTAAAAAAAAAAAAAGGAGAAAGAGAAACGGAAACTTTAAAGGCCAATGGAGGTGCTCCCACCTCAGAAATAGTTTATTTTTGGATAATATATAAATAGACAGTATATAAGCTTGTTTCAAACAGAGGGGGATCTGTGCAGTTTTCATCTGCAGAGTGTAGAAAAGCTGAAAATGAGAAGTCCTTAAAGGACAGTAAAAGCAACTTCATCATTGTGAGAAGTCTAAAAGAGCAGATACATAGCGCTGCTACCAAAAAAAAAAAAAGGATATAATTACTTAGGTTTTGGGGTTTTTTTGTTTGTTTTTTTTTTTTTTTTTAATGCTTTGGAGTCCATTAAAATGCAGTGTAGCCAAAGCTGGATTTTAATAGCTGTCTAAGCTATTGTGGAATGAAACAGTTCTTGATGGTGTCACGTGAGGTAGCAATAACTGGTGGGTAGGAGAGGGGTGATCTTGCAACTTTTTCTCTGTGTTTTCCTAGATAGTTGTTAGAGGATAAAGTTTTTTTAAAAAAGTAAACTAACAGTACTTTTTTTGTTCACTTCCAGAAAACTGATTGGGAAGTAGCCATAAAGAGTATTAACAAAAAGAACTTGTCGAAGTCACAAATCCTGCTTGGAAAAGAAATAAAAATCTTAAAGGTATGTTAATTTGCAGTGATTTTTAAAGCTGCTTGGCTTGAAAAAGGAAAGAGACTTCTGACCTAGTTCATTCCAGGTCATGGGTGGTGTCACAGTAGCTGCTGTTGTGATGTTTCTTTGTTAGGGATCCAGAAATAGAAATTCTAAGAAAAACGGAAAAAAAATTTAAATCTTTAGTTCTGGAAATGTCTCAGAACAGGTCGTGAGCATGCTTTTGTAGTTAAAAGTAGCAATTGTTGTGGGAGCAGTCTCTGTGCTTTGCTTATTGCACGTGTGGAAGAGTTTGTCCTTCAGGATGGCCAGTGTGGCACCTTTTCCCAGCAGATCATAGCTGAGGGTGAAGCGTCAGTCTTTGATCTTTCTTCATCTTTTTTGCTCAAAGGTGCCTTGAAAGCTGAAACCAGTGAGCTGACTTTAATTCCCGAAGCAGCTGCCCACTTCTGACTTGTGATAATTGCCTTAAAATGTGGAGTGTGGCTCTAGCAGAGGAAATGTAATGGAGCATCTTTCAGTTTTTCAGTCTTATTTTATGGAAACCTCTCCTTGGGTGGTCATTTAGCATTCCCTGCTCTTTGAATTTCACATCTCATTTCACACAGCTTTGCAGTAATACTGAGTGCTGCTTTCTTCCCATGTTTCTGAGCTGCTTGAGATACATCACTACTTTATATGCTATTATGTACATATTATATTCTCATTTATCTATTATATACCAGAATTAGTGTTGGGTGTATTAGTGTACTGCAAGTACTTAACAAACAGAAGTTTTTTGAGCAGCTACAAATAATCCATGGTCTGTCCCATGAGTTTTATTTAATGTTATTTGGTTTGATTTTCTTTGTATTAGAAAAGTAAGGCTGATTTGAGCATGGTCAGGTTGGTTACTTCACTAAGCAAGAAATTGTGTAAGAGTAGGAAATTAAATCTTTTCAATTTTCAGTTCTCATTAGAGGATCTTGTGCTCTGGTACTTTCTGTAACAAGTCATTGACATAAAGTTCTGGAACCAAATGTTTTTATGACCTCTCAAGATATTGCCTAACTTCCTTATCCTTTAAATATTATCTAAACAGCTGGGATTTTCTCTAAATTCTATCTGATCATCTTAAAAAGATTCTCGTTGATTATCACCAAATCAGCATTATCAGCAAATTCAATTAATAATAGTAGTAATACTAATAACCTTTTTCCATAATACAAATTTTTTTGTTTTACAGGAACTTCAGCACGAGAACATTGTAGCTCTTTATGATGTCCAGGTAAAATATATTTTGATCCCTTTTTTTTTCCCCCCTCATTAAAATTAATTTATGAAGATATAGTGAGTATATATAATGTATGTCAGGTAGAAGATTTTGAATAGATTTATTTTGAATGGGTCTGTTTTGTTGCTGTCATCAGTTTGGAATTCAGCAAAAACAAATTGCAGCAAGAGCAGCATCTTGGGGATCTGTGTGACAAAGAAATGTGGTGTTCAGCCCTGTGGCACAGTGAGGAGGAACTGAAGGAAGCAGAAAACCACAGTCACATGTATCTGTTGCCTCTGTGTCCAGAACAGGATACAGTGAGAAAAGCCAAGCAGACACTTAGATCTTTTCAATTAAATTCCTT